CTAGGTGTGCAACATTAGCCTGTGATCCTCACCTGGTCCTTTCCGCTGGGAGTTCGCACCACGAGAGTTGACAACTCGTCCACGATCTCCTTGTAACACCTGGATTCACAGGAAACACATAGTCACATAGTGCTACATAGCACGAAACTTACATAGCTTTAGTGGGCTCTCTTATTGCTATTTGTCCATGCACAAGGACGTGGACAGCAACCAACCAAATACATCATGATAACGGAAAACATCATGCACTAGACTCAATCACTGGCTGTAAATCGCTACCTCTGTCCAATCTTTCCACACATATTTTGACCCACATCCCATCCCTCCTGCTTGATGTCTGATCATGCATCATGCTAAACCAGTCAAACAATTTGAACCCAGCACCTTGAATCCTCTGAAGGGTGATTACCAACCTTAGCCATTCAAAAACAAACAAACAAGGAAAATTAACGGCGAAACGACGCCGGCCTTCCCATCTCCATAGGATTGGTCACCTTCTTCACGCCCAAGGAGGCCGCGCCTGACCTGGTCATGGCCACCATGGCGTCCGACCCGGTCCAGCCGGAAAGGGTTCGCTGAGGATCACCGGTGTTTGTGGGAACGGGTTCAAACAATATCCACAAAATCTTCAATCTTCTTCACAATGTGACTTTGCTTCAAACAAGATCCGCCAGATACGCGCAAAGTAGAAAGCACCGTCTTGTTCCTTTTGCCAAGGGGTTTGGGGGTGAACTGCATCCTCTTTCTTCAGCGATGGCCTGAAAAACCTTCGCGAGCTTCCCTCCTCCAGCAACACATGGTCTACTGGTTTGCAGCAGATGTTTTTCAGAAAGTTTTGCTGAGTTTGGTGAATTCTCCAAGGTTGCCAGTGTCGAACCTACCTGCAACAAGTGGAACAAGCAAGTCAGAAATCGTCAGTGTTCTTAAGAACTGTGAGGAAAATCCTTTGAGGGTTGGGTGTCCCATATGGTGTTTGACCACAGTCCCAATTTCAGTGTCTTTCCTTGCTATTGCAATCCATTTTGGTAGAACAGGCGACCAACTCTTCATGATTGAAGAAGGAAGCGTTGATTCCGAGACAATGTTTTCAATCGCGCATCAGAAGAATACTTTCAGAACATGGATGATTCGTTTGTTCGGCTGCCTGCTCACGTTCATAGGATTCTGGATCATACTCTTTGAAGTATTTCTGGAGTGTGGGATCCATTAGGTACTCATACACAGCATGAGTTTGCAGCTGAGGTCATTGGGCAGCCCGTAAATTGGAGTTGACACGCTGAAGCTGCAGTGATCTGGAACGTGTATCCCTTTCCAACCCCAAGAATTGAACTCATGAAAGTTAACACGATGGCCCGTGTGATTTAGCAATGTTGCCCTGGCGCCCCGACACAGGCTTCAAAACGGCAGGGAACCCGACCTCGACTGTTCATGGCGGTGAGAAGGGAGTTTTGCAGTGCACACGTCTTTGCAAAACACAACCCTGACCACAACACAAGAGTCTGTTGTTGTGGTCTTCATTGCTCTTGCATCTTTAGCCCCGGGCGACTTGAGCAGCTTCTTGTAACTTGGATTCCTCCGTGATGAGGAAGTTCCTGTACGCATCTGTACACTCCGCTCAAGGCGCAAGTGCCCACAAAATAAAGGAAAATCAAACCTCTTCAGAAACTATCTTTGTACCAAAACACCGACCATAATCAACCAAGCATCACCAAACCATCCAAGCTGATGAGCCTGGCCTAGGAGTTGGCAGGCCAGCTGTTTTCAAGCAACCGCGAGTGGCGTGCCTAGGCTAGCCAGCACGGCAAGGGGCTGAGATACTCAAGTGTCGGAAAGAAAAACTGCGCCTGAACAATATACGATGTGTCTTGTGGAAAAGCCTTCCACGCAAACATACCAAGAGAGAACTCCCTCTTTATTCCATTAATTATGCCATGTCATAAAACTATAAAGTGTTATAACGTTATAAACTTAAAAACCTTCAACGCATCCAAATCACATTGGATCTATATTGCGCCACCCTATAATGCAGGTTTTGGAGGCATAATCATAGTCAGAACCAAGATAATTTGAAATTCAGCGCAACAAAATGCAAGACAAATGTTCTAAACACAAATATATAATGACTGCAGATTCTTTTGTATTCATACTCACAGAAGCTGTCAGGACAGAAAAAAGAACCAGTCTGCCACACAGACTCCAGAAGGCAACTCCCTGTTATACAGGGAGATGCTCCTCTAGGTTTGTTTTTTCAGACCCTTTCCCTGTTGTGGCCCGTGTCTTGCTTCTTGTCTTCCTGTACATGATTGTACATGTCTCCTTTAAAATACTCTTGCAAATGAAAGCAAAATCAATCCAACATGTAAGCAGATGAAAGCAACATGAAAGCAACATGTAGGCTAATGAAAGCATAATGAAAGCAGCATGTAGGCAAATGAAAGCAGAATGAAAGCAAAATGAAGGAAAATCCCAAATCCCTCAACTCCAAAAACCATAGGTTTTGAGTTAAACACCGTTATGAAAAACGTCACTTTAACACGCCTGCAAAGGCTGCCAAGGATCCACAATAGGGAGGAAATCCACAATTATTAGACCCTCTCCATATTGCGGCTTTGCAATGTTTTCTTTTACATGTATCGTGCAAAAAAAATCTCTTGCAAATGAAACCATAATGAACGCAATGACAGCAGAATGAAAGCAAATGAACGTAAGTGAAAGTAAAATGAAAACACATGAAAACAGAATGAAAACACTTTTGAAAGGCCGCTCTGCCCCCCTACCTGAACCTAGCGATGGCCTCACTCCAACCTACGTAATAGCGATGGCCTCCAACCCCCACTGAGGATAGGACAAAATCTAAGGTTTGTGTCGCTCGGTTGGTTCAGAACATGGAATGTTAGATTCGTGAAAATAATGGGTGGTCAACCTCTCCAATTTTTCTTGGAGGCAAGTTTTTAGGGTGGCAGCAATAATAGTCACCTCTGGAGTTCATTTCATGTGTTTTCAGATTGTCATTTTGTATTCATTATGCGTTCATTTGCTTTCATTTGTTTTCATTTGCTTTCATTTTATTTTCACTTGCGTTCATTTGCTTTCATTCTTCTGTCATCGCTTTCATTATATATACTGTCATTCTGCTTTCATGTGCGCTCATGTTGTGCTCATTTGTTTTCATTCTGCTTTCATGTGTTCATTTCCTTTCCACATCCTCATGTCACCTGTCCCAAGCCGATGTCACCGAGCGGCTTGTTGCGCGCCGCGTCCACGGCCGCAGGCCTCAAACCTGCACCGGGTTGCGGGCACCGTGAGAGATGCACCGTTGGAATTTGATGCACCGTTGCATAAGCTAGATTGCAACATGAATACATCCAATCCCATGAATAATCCTGGTTTTTCTAGAATCAACCATTACACTATCCTGTCTGACGCTTCCCCTGATCTCACCACATCTATCCACGTGTCTCAGCCGAATGGTTACTGTACCCGCCTGGGAGGCCCAAAGCCTCCGCCAAGCGCGCGGCCAGCGGCACCGAGAGCTCTACGTAGGTGGCCTGGCGCGTCCCATGATGGTTACATGGATACTGTGGACCGGATGAACCTGTTGGATGTGCATGATGGTTACTGTAGTGCTCAGTAGTGGCATCCAACTGCTATAGTTTCATCATTTTCATATACAAGTGCATACATGCTCCATACATCTCCATACTATGACCACACATGCAGGACGATTGTTGATCGATCAGCTTGATGACTTCAAGCGCACGAGCTCGGTTCTTTGGAGCGTGATCTGAGTCGCCAACTGATGGCGGAAGCTCTGAGGTTTTGAGATCTAGTGGAGCTCACAAGCTCAAGCAGCAAAGCAAACATCCTTGTTTTCCAATCTGGCGTTTCAAACGTGCAGATGTTGAAATTGGCCGAATTACTGTAGGGCAATGATACATTTTCGAGCCCTATACTTGCTGCCAGGCTATTCAAACACGAGACCTAGCAGCCAGTGGCCCGTTGCCACCTATCCCTCTAGGACTCTAGGTCCTTCAGAAAGACCTTTCGGCCCAGTGCAGAGTTGGATGATGGCAGTGGTGGCGGCATGTGGAAGCACAGGACAAGCGCACCTTGGCTTCGCTGAAGAAGCTGATAAGAAATAGAAAATCTACCCCCAAGGCGAACCAAAAAGGATTCACCTACAGGGAAAAAACAAAACACGCCCTCAGTCGCCCTTAGACAAGATCAAGGCACTCAAGTTGTCCATGCTCTTCATTTTCACGGCCCGCGTTACGGTCCCTTCCGCCGCAGCTTGCGGCGACTGTGTTTCTGAGCGATCAAAAAGAGAAAGGTTGCACTCCCAAAGTATCACCAAAATGATTGGCGCAAAAAAATGGTTGCACTCCCAGCTTGTGGTCGTTATAGTGAGGACCTCGGGTGCGCCTCCTTTGCAGCAAAGCGCGTGACAGTCGCCAGGGTTGGCCACTGAAGCCCCTCGTGAAGAGCAACACAGGCGCAAGCGCCAGATGACAATCCGTAGTCTGAATTGGATTCTCCTTCCTTCTGGAAATGCTCGGATAAAGCCTTGTCGGCCTTGTCAAATGCTTGTCTGAGTCTCTCGCACGGCTTTGCCCAGGAGCTTGGGTAGCTCTTTCTTGACAAAGCTGATTGCTTCTGTATGGCCATCATATACGGCAAAAAGTTGCCGGTCGCATCCGTCGCATCTTCCATGCGATTTCGCTCGTTCTTCTTCACGGACCAGCCATGCTGCTGGTCACCCCCACTGCCATCGAGGGGCAGCTCTCTGCCATCCTCTTTCCCTCGCCCCAAGCATGGGCAAATGCTGGCTCCCATTGCTCCAAAGGGGAAAGGGCAAGGTGCGCCAAATTGTTCCCTTCCTCTTCCTATCAAAAGATGCAGAATTGATCTGATCATGGGACTCTGCCAACCAAGATTAAGATGATGGTCTACATGGTCTTACTATTAGACATAAGTTTCTTGAACCTTGCTTCCAAACTACGTTCCGTCTCAGCGATCTGAACTGCAAATAGCTACCGAGCCCACCGCGTATGCCTACGGAGACTGCGGTCTTCATTCGTTGAACAACTATGAAAAACTAACCTGGTAGTCGCTTGGTTGTTGGTTTGCTTAGAAAGGGACACGTAGACCAATATGACTGATTTTGTCAAAGATGGTACGTGTCTACATGTGAGGGACGGTCAAAACTCCTTATTCTTCTTCAGCTAAAAAATGGACGTCATCGGTTTTGAGGTGGACCTTATCGTTTTACAGCGTTTTGAGTTCGTCGCATACTTATGACCATATAACAGCGCTGGGGTTATCGGTTTTGAGGTGGACCTTATCGTTTTGCAGGGTTTTGTGCACAAACCTACCCCTCTTTACTGTGGTCTTCGCATGTTTTGACCGTGGCTCATGTGCAATTTCTCGGAAAGGCTGACTTACCTTGTCCGAGAATTGTTCATTTGGTACTCTTCCAACTAAAGTCTTTCATCCTTCTGCTTCAGAAGGCTTCTGAATCAGGAACTTTCAGGAGATATCTGCAATATCAACGGTATTCACACAAAAACATATACAATCTCAACGGTCCGGCGGGCATCGACTTCAGGATGTTTCCAATCCAATCCCGCTGGGTGCACGATGCCATCGGCTGGGCCGGTCACACCGTCCTGATGCAGAAGAGAACGTGAAATCAGCTTTTTACGCAATAAACATCAATTGCTTCACCAATCATGAACGAACGAAACCGATGGCTGGCTTAAGACATCCATTGGTTCCCGGAAGCGAGCTCAGTCGAAACCGGGTCGTTTCTTTTCGCCCGGCCTCTCCCAGCTCTCTGATGTGCTGAAGCGCCCTGAGCGGCGCGTCGGTGACAGTCCAACAGAGCGGCTCCCAAGGTCATCTGCTCCAACAGTCGCAGGTGGCATATTTTCAAGGCAGAACTCTTCCAAACACATAGGATTTGGAGTCTTGGCCGTTCAAAAAAATAGACTATACCCCGTCAACTCTCACCAATAATGACTATTTGCTGGTCAAATCAATCAATGTGTTTCTTCATGTTTCTTATATAGCATATCTTATTCTAGATTCTATAGTCGGGTGAGTGAATCTCAATTGAACGAAACACCACCAAACATATGGTAGTTCTACGCTGGATATGGAAAAACAAAAAACTATACAGGACGATCCCACAAAATCGGATTTCCGCGACCAGACTGTCAGCAATGCCCGGATGCCCGGATCAAACACTGAGTGGGTGGACTGTTGGAAAATAGCTTCCGAGTCCTGCGTCATGTCGACCTTGGACGCGGAGCTGAAGGGACGGGGTGGAGCTTTTGATTGCTCGAGCTGAAGGAGTGGAGATCTGGAAGTCTCCGACAGCCAAAATGATCAGAGCCTACCTGGCCCAGGAACCAGTCTACCTGGCAGTAGATTTTCACTTTCTTCGGCTGACTTTCTCATCTCTTGTCATCACCGTCGATCCCGTGATGTGACTGTGACCTCACCAGCTGACCCAGGGCATGCCACACGGAGCCTGGGTCACCCAGCTGGAATGAACTTGGCAGCAAGGCCTTCATCAACTAAACTCCTTCAACCGTCTCACATCACTCATCTCGCATTCATCACAAGTCGCATGCTCATCTCATGTTGAAGGCACGTACGAGTACAGTAAATTACAGTGTGTGTATATATATATAT